GTAAAGAAATTCGATATTGGAAGAATAAATTAGAAGGCATAATGATCAATGAAAAATTAATATATGAAAATAATGTGGCTCATAGGGTTAACACACATATTTTTGAAGAGCCAATCATTTATAAAAAACCAAGGTACAAAGGGTTAGCACACTAAGTCATGAAGATAAGATGACTTTGGAAAATTTTCATAAGCCATTAATGGCTAAAAAAGAAGAGCAACCCCGTCTCTCAAAAAATGTTAAAAATTCATCACAAAGTAATGATGAAGATTCACTTAAGCCAAAGATGGCTGAAAATTATGAACGTGGGGGAGGAGGGGGTATGATTTGGAAAATTTTCATAGGCCATTAATGGCTAAAAAAGAAAAGAAACCATATCTCTTAAAAAATGTTAAAAATTCATCACAAAGTAATGCTGAAGATTCACTTAAGCCAAAGATGCACTACAACAAAAAGCAAATTTCGCGACTAAAATTGGATTTTTTGTCGCTGAAAGTAGTAGAATTGGCGACTAAAATGGAATTAGTTTTCATAGGCCATTAATGGCTAAAAAAGAAAAGAAACCCTATCTCTTAAAAAATGTTAAAAATTCATCACAAAGTAATGGTGAAGATTCACTTAAGCCAAAGATGGCTGAAAATTATGAACGTGGGGGGGGGGGTATGATTTGGAAAATTTTCATAGGCCATTAATGGCTAAAAAAGAAAAGAAACCCTATCTCTTAAAAAATGTTAAAAATTCATCACAAAGTAATGGTGAAGATTCACTTAAGCCAAAGATGCACTACAACAAAAAGCAAATTTCGCGACTAAAATTGGATTTTTCGTCGTTGAAAGTAGTAGAATTGGCGACTAAAATGGAATTAGTTGCCAAAATTGATCACTTTTGCCGACTAAAAGAGTTTAGTTGCCGAATATAAGGGTTTTAGCGACTAAAAGTCAATTTAGTCGCCGAATATAGGGGTTTTAGCGACTAAAGGTTTTTTAGTAGCCAAAAGTGATAGTTTTTGGCGACTAAAATAACTTAGTAGCCAAAAGTATAGGTTTTGGCGACTAAAAAACAGTTTGGTCACCGATTCTACGTGTTTTGGCGACTAAAAATAGTTTGGTCGCTGAAAGTGAAGCTTTTTGGCTACTAAAAAAATATTAGTAGCTAAAAACAGTCAATTGGCGACTAAAATTTAGTTTAGTACCCAAAAGGGGACGTTTTTGGCGACTAAAAACAGGTTTAGTCGCCAAAACTGGTTTTTTTAGGCGGGAATAAATTTTTTAGCGACTAAAAACTAATTATTAGCCAAAACTATACAATTGGCGACTAAAAAATAGATTTAGTCGCCAAAAGTGATCTAATTTTTTTTTAGTAAATAATTCATTTTTTACATAATTAGATTAGCATCTTTTATGTCTACCCTTAGATCTACCTACAGGTTTCTGAACTCGGGCAATTCGGGCAATTCGGGCAACCCGAGTTCAAAATACAAAGCTTGGGCCGGGCTTGGGCAACAATGTTCGGGTTCATGGTCGGGCTTGGGCGGGCTTGGGCAGTGCCAAATACAATTCGGGTCGGGCTTGGGCAGACCCCCAACCCGACCGAACCCGCCCGAGTTGCACCCCTATGTTGTAGTGGCATAGTGGGGAGAGTGTGTTGGTAAATGTTTGGAATGTGGGATGGGTCGGTGGTTCAAAACTTGGGAACAACAGAGGGTAAAATATTTTTTTTCTGAAATATGCTTTTGGCGACTAAAAACAGTGGTTGCCAAAAGATTGACTATTGGCGACGAAAAGCTTAGTCGACAAATGTATAAATTAAAAAAAAAATAATTCACTATTGGCGACTAAAAGATGAGTCGCTAAATGTATAATTTTCAAAAATGTAATTGACTATTGGCGACAAATTCTTTGGAACCCCTCCTCTCAAAAAATATTGAGAATTTTAATAATAAAGGTTCACTTAGGGGGCATGATGTTTTGCCAAACGTGGCAAAAAGTGACAAGCCATTAATGGCTAAAAAAGAATAACAACCTCTTCTCTCGAAAAATGTTAAAAAATCATCACAAAATGATGGTAAAAATTCACTTGGGGGGCATGATTTTAAGCCAAAGATGGCTGAAAATTATGAAGGGGGGGGGGGGGGGGATGGTTTAAAGCCAAACATGGCTAAAAATTATGAACAACCCACTTTTGTTGAATATAAATTTTTTAACATTGTTAAATTTGTTAAAAGTTTTGATTTTCTAAAACCATTTGATATTATGGTTTCTGCTACCCAACAACAACCATGGTTTGTGGTTCACATTAAAAGTTAATTTTGATGAATTGATTAACAAAAACATATTATGCTTGTAAGTTTGATGGAATAAAAAAAAAGGCCATATAATAGCCAATACTTGGCCAAACTAATAATGGATAACGGCTAAATGGTAATACTTTGCATGAAAGCCAGTTTAATGGCTAATTGTTTAGTGTCGACACAAGCCAGTTTAATAGTTGATGGCCAACTAGTTATACTTTGCATCGACAAAAGGCCAATTAATAATTTTTGTTTCAAATTTTGAAATAGGGTTGAATGTTAGAAGTGTATGGATATGCCTTGCTTTAGTAAATACAAAAAGGCTCAAGCTACACCATTTATGGGTAGTGTAAAGCCTTAGAAAATACTGGTGATATAAATCAGGCGAGGGCATTGTCTGCACAATAAAATATTTTTTGTCGATTGTGGTAAACCGCCTTATAAATCATTTAATTGGATTTTATTTTTCAATCCAGTTAAATGAGGGGGGCATTGTTCGCATTACATTTTATTTTTTGTCGATTGTGGCCTATTAGTTATGGCCAAGTTCGATTATGGTTTGTCGATTAAAATTATAATCTATTTTCAAAGAATAACCTTGATCACATTTGTTTTTATTATTTCTATTGACATGTATGTTGACATAGCGTGACAAGTATGCCAGTAACGTGGCATGGAATGGATGATGATGTGGCTTGAAAAGATTAAATAAAGCCAATAAAGATATTTATTGAAATCAATTAGAAACTATATAATAAAATCGGGGGGATCAATATCAAGTCAAAGCACAAAATCTGTAAGTAGTTCCTATGAAGATATGAGATATGGTTGAGTGGAGTAAAGATTAAGGAAAATCATGGATTGATAGCTACAACATGAGGAGACCAAGCAAGTATAAAAGGAGGGCTTGAGGAATGAAAAAAAACACATCTCTCAATCATCAAACACTTGCAAAGAGTTTATCTAAGAGTAGTTTAACTTAGCATTTTAGGAGTAGATTAAATTAGTAGCTTTTTCAAACCTCCACTTCTTTTCTTTCTGTCGATTGCTGTATTTTTTCAATCTTTTGTTCTTGTTTGAGTTCTTGAAACTAGTGACAATTGCTGTATTTTTTCAATCTTTTGTTCTTGGTTGAGTTCTTGTAACTAGTGACAAGTGACAATTCATTCGAATTATTACATATTCTTTTTTGTTCTATCTCTTTTTTGCTTAATTACCTCAAGAGAAGTTCTTAATCTATTTAAGGCATAAAACTCAACTACAAAACCTGAGTTTTATTTGTGTTTATTAAAATTTGTTTAGATTTGTCAATCAATCACTATCTATTAGGCTTGAATTGAATTTTTACCAACAACAAATTTTATGTGGGGGCATTGAATGCCTCCCTTGGCTAATTGGACTATGATATTCAACATTTTTTTTACTATCATGCAGGTATGAAACTTAAATTATTAAAACTCGTTTGGGTTAGTTTCAAAATCATGATTTGTGTGTGAAATTGTATTTTGAGTTAACTTTTGAAAAAAGAAAATTTATTTAGTTATGAGTTTTGAAAGGAATTTTGAAAAGAGTTGTATTTTGAGTTTTGAGTTTTTGAATTTTGAGTTGTATATTGAAATTTTTTGGATTTATTTTTTTTATATATTTAAAAATTTTCTTAATTTTATTTTTTTAGGGTAAATATTTTTTATTGTAAATATTTATTTATTTATTTTAATGTGTGTTGTATTTACTACATGTGTGCGTTGTATTTTTTTTAAATATTTTAAATATATATTTTTAATATTTTAAAATTTAAAATGAGTTGTATTTTTATTATTTTAAATAAATAATTTTTATTTTAAATATTTTATTTATTTTTTTAAATATTTTTATTTTTTAAATTTTTTTTTAAACTTTTTTTTTAAATATTTATTATTATTTTTTAAATTTAAAATTTTTTGGATTGCCCATATATATTTAAATCATACCAAATTATTTGGCTAATACTTAAAAAAATAACAAAATATTTTTTCGAAAAAATAAAATATATAAAAATATTTTTCTTCAAAAATAAAAATAAACAAAATATTTTTTTGAAATTTTATATTTTTTCAAAGAAATGTAAAATAAAAAAATAATTTTAAAGAACAAAATAAAAAAATAATTTGAATTTTTTTTTAAATAGTGTTTTAAAAAGAGTTTTGAATTTTGTGTGTAATTATAAATTTTGAAAATAGTTTTTGAATTGTGTGTTTAGTTATCAATTTAAAAAAAAAAAAAAAATTGATTAAAATCACGGTTCCAAAACTAAACCAAACACTAACATTTAACCCAACAAACCAAGTGTCAATTCCTTTCCAAATGAGAGAACAACCACAACCACAACCAAACTGAAGCAAACATTCATCCTCACCAAAGAAAAAAATCAAAGACAAAAGACAAAATCATCTACATTTTTCCTTCTTTTTTTTTTTTTTGGCTCAACTCTTATTTTCTTTCATGCTCACCAAAGACAAAATCACAACACAACAAACAGAAGCAAACCCAGAAGCAAACCAAAACATTCACAAAACATCACCAAGAAACAAGTATCAAGTAGTCCAGGGGGACACAATCTGGGTCTAAAATTGCGAGATTAAACATCACAGATGCTACCTAACAGACTTGCAGCATCTTATTTATTCAAAAATCCTTGACGAAAACGATCTTGCAAGGTTGGAATAGTCACTCATTTTCCAGAATTTGTGCTAGGATTGATAGCAACATAAGTCTGAATAAAGCTCAAGACAATGGCTAAAATAGCACCAAGGAAAGCAAGAAGAGTCCAAGGGGTATCAAAATGGGTATGCAACCATTCAGTCATCCACAGTCTCACCTTGTTCTTATAGTGGTCTTCAATTTGGTTTTGAACATCTTTATAGGCATTAGTGTTAGGCACTAAGTTCTTGGCTATCTCATTGAAAAGCCCAGCCACCTCTTCGTCGGTACTAAGGTAGTTTAGAAGTATTCCCTTCTTTCTCAGTTCCTTCACATCATCAGCATTATCAATCAGTGTATCCATAAACCATATATATGAGGTGACTCCCAAGTCATTGGGACTATCAGGACACATCTCATAGGCTACCAAGTTTAGTAGTAAAGACTGGGTTGAGTCATCAATTATCATTGGAGGAAGCCTTAAGATTGCTCTAATGACGAGAGGTTCATACCTTACATCAGTAAAAAAAATGTTTTCTTGGTTAGGCCTGAAGATGATCCCTGCAGTCTTGAGCTCCTGTACTGAACGATACGAGTACCAATTGTTTCTTTCTCCATTAGGACAGAAATTTTTGAGACGGCCGATGAGTTTCTGCATTATTTTCGAGTAACAATTGTTGCCTCCTCCTCCTCCTCCTTTGTTTTCAGTGCTAGTAAGTTGCCTGTGCACGAGTTCTAGAAGATGAGCGGGTTCGCCTAATTTTCTTTGTACTTCTGTGGGCCTTGTTTTTGGGTTGGTAATGCATGTAATGCAATTTTCCATCATTTCCTGAAATGAAATATGAGGAGGACGAGGTGGCCGCGTGTTTTGAATGAACTTGTTAATCAACTCCAAGCCTTTATCCTCTTTAAAGTCCAAGTTCATGGTCATCAGTGCCTGGAGGACTTTGAAAGGAAGTTGATTCTCGAGCAAGAACAAGTCACGTTGCACGAAAGCTTTCTCATGATTCTTCATCTTCATTTTGGCTTCTTCTTCTTTGTTTTCGTGTGTCATGTAGTGAATATATTGGAGGATGAAGCAACCATCGAGGAACATCATCAAAGTGAAGTCCGGGGCATCAATATTAGCGTCCTCAGCATAGCAGTTTCTTGCCTCGATAGCCACATCTGCAACCTTGTTATACAAGTCGTTTATTGAATATGATGGTCCACAACTTTTCACATACTCCCTTGTGAATTGAAATTTGAATTTTTCGAACGATTTGAGGTTTTCGTCCTTGTGGTGGTAGGGACCAATAGAAACTAGCTGTGGCACATAGCATTTCTTTGTGGACTCGGTGGGCAGAATTTTAGGGACCTTCTGTATCTTATGCTTTGCCATTGTGGTGTTTGAGGACTCACCGGACCCATTTTCTTCTTTCATTATCAAACTTAGCTGTGGATGTGGGTTCGGTGGGCTATGGATTACAACACTCAACTCACTGTCAAAAGATCGAGCCGACATTGTCAGCTGGTAGGTAGGAGGATATACACAATCTAGGAAGAGGTAATATAATTTTTATCTTATGATTCTTTATCTGCTTAAGATTTGCAGTTCTGAAATTTATAGGACACCTTAAAGTACTTTAATTAGCAATTATCTTGTATTGTATTAGATCAAAAAACACTTTGCAAGTGTCATTATCTGCATGAGAATCTTCATGAAAACAAAAATGAAGTAGAGCATTTCTTTTTTCTGTTTCTTGTCCTTTTTTCTCTTTATGTGTATAAAGGTCACAAGCATGTTGCACATGTATTCCAAATTTGGTGTTTTTCTCTTTATGTGTATAAAGGTCACAAGCATGTTTCACATGTATTCCAAATTTGGTGTTCATGTTACTTTGTAAAAGAAATCCTGCCCCTTGGTTTTTGTCCTTTCTCTTTTGTTTTATGTAAACCTGGCAACATGTTTTTCACATACATACGAAAAGATATATTAGAGGCTTTTCCCATATTAAGCCAATTTATCATCTTAATTTTTAAACTAGGTCTAGTTTGGACGGAATTCCCAAATTAGGCTAAAGCGTTATTACAAATCACGCTTTGACTGTTTGGGGCCGAAAATTTGATGAACAGTGGAAGTGCTATTAGAAACCACACTTTTAATTAAGAAATCGTGGTTATAAACTACACTTTTAACATAAATTTTTTTCTGAAGAAAATGTGGTTCCAAACCACGCTTTCATTGTACAGGTCGTTTAATTTGTTTTCTGAAGAAAGCGTGGTTTTTCACTGTGCACATTGTTTAAAATTTTTTTTCTGAAGAAAACGTGATTTGGAATCAAGCTTTCACTGTGCATTGTTTTTTGTTAAAAAAACGTGATTTGGAATCACGCTTTCACTGTTGATAAATGAAAGCGTGGATTGAAACCACACTTTTAAAACTTATATAAAACACCCAAGCCCCCTCATTTGCAATCACGTTTTTTACACATACGTTTTTTCGACTCTTGCTCGATCTCCCTCTGCTCTCAAACTCTCTCACTCTCGCTCTTGATCTCCCTCTGCTCTCAGACTCTCTCGCTTTGGATCTCGCTCTGCTCTCAGACTCTTACTGTCGCTCTCGCTCTTTATCTGCTCTCAGACTCTCTCTTTGCTCTCACTCTCTGTCTCTGCTCTCTCTCTCTCTCTCTCTCTCTCTCTCCGTGGTATGGCATCTAGCTCTCTCTGTATCATTTGAATTTTATGTATTTATTTATTGTGTTTGTGAAAATGTGAATGTGTGGTTGAAAATGTGAATGTGTGTTTGTGAAAATATGAATGTTAGGGTTTTAAATGTCAATTATTAAATGTGTTAGGGTTCTAATGTGTTAGGGTTTTGAATTAGGGTTTTAAATGTGTGGTTATGAAATTATGAAATCATGAAATGTTAGGGTTTTGAATTGTGAAATCAGAAATTATGCTTGTGGTTTCAGAAATTAGGGTTTGGAATTTTTTGAAATCAGAAATTAGGGTTTGGAATTTTTTGAAATCAGAAATCAGGGTTTGGAATTAGGGTTTGGAATTTTGCTTGTGAATCAGAAATAAAAAATTATGCTTGTGAATAAACTAACCTATATTTGTTGAATTGGAATTATGAAATGTCTATATTTTGAAATTTGAAATCAAAAATTGAAATTTTGAAATTATGTTTGTGAATCAAAATGTTTATATTTTTTAAAATTAGGGTTTGAAATTTTGAATTGTGAATAAACCAACCTATATTTGTTGAATTGGAAATTTTATTTTTTGCTTGTTAAGAAGAATTAAAAGAAAATTAGGGTTTGAAATTAGGGTTTGAAATTAGGGTTTTAAAAGTAGTTTTTTTTAATTAAGAATAAAATTATGCGAATTGAAATTCATATAATTGATAATTGTTAATGTCATATTATGAAATTCATATAAGTGAGAATTGAGAATTGAAATTCATATTATGAAATTCATGAATTGAGAATTAAGGTGGATTGACAATTTCAATTCGAGGTCCACATGCTTACATATATATGATCATTTTTGTTTCAGAAAATAAGACTGTAAACTGTTGTTAGCTACATATTTTGTAAAAGCCAGTTACAATCCGACACGTGGCAGAATAAGGGTATTATTGGAAAATAATTTAAGTCTCCAATCCTGATCGTACACGTGGTGATGATAATTGGTTCTCACATGGTCTGAGCAACATTGGATCAGTAAAGAAACGCAAGGTGACGTGGCTTCAACGGTTACTCATATTCAAATTCAAATACAGATAATCCGGAGTGTCGGTGACTGGGAATTGAGACACGTTCCGTCACTCGGAGTACGAAACGTACCTCGTTTCCTGTGCCTGGGCTAACTCCTATCCCGAACACGATGCAATATGCATGATATGCATGAAATGCAACTAAGATACAA